CCCCCCCCAAAAAATAAGGGTTAATAATTTAATAATGGGCATCATATTAAACAAAATGGAATTACAAAACATAGACATAATTGGGACAAGGTTTGATGATGATGAAGCGTATTGTTGACAAATTTAACTGATAAAATGAAATATGCCCATGCTTTTTTTCATAGGCTTGGGGAATAACAATATTAAAAAAAAAAAATGAAGGGATCTAAATTAAACTTTAATTTTGCAAGTGGATATGTAATTTTGGATATACTCTTACAGAGGTAATGGAAGTATGTTTATTAAACAAGTATAATAATTGGCATGGTTCAAGGTATCGATTATTTAGATCCGTAAATATATATAGTACAGTCAGAGTTTTCAAGAATTGATAATGTTTTTATTTTATTTCAATTTGATAATTCACAAAATATATATATATATATATATATATATATATATATATATATATTAAGGTGAATACTCTCGATTTTAAATACATGTATTTTATACAATATAAAGTGGATATCTCTCTACAAATTATAAAAGTGAAATTCAAATATCCTTAATACTTATTTCTATATGCTGCTGTTACCGTAGTTAAATTTGATTTTCCAACTCAAATACAAAAATCCAGTCCAATGCCATGTGGATGGTGGGTCCTATAGGAACATGTTTAATAAAAATAAAGCCATTAATTATGACTATTATTAACTACCAATAAAAAAATTAAGATTATGGTGTAGGTGGAATTATATAATTTAGTATTTTAATCTCAATGTCTCTATCTTTGTTCACAGGGACTAAAATTATTGGCAAACAGTTGCAATAGTTTCAAGCTGAAGGAAACAAATATGGAGGCCATCACTATCCCTTAATTAAAATCATTAGACAAGGGCATTTTCATATTCTAATTATATAAATACTTGTTGTCTTTTATCACAACAGAATGCTCATTTGAGTGGGAGAAAAATACCGGGACATGACCAAACGACCACTACTTTAAATCAGACAATGGACAATGGATGGATTCCCCCTTTTTTGTGACAAAGTAGAAAAAGAGAAAGATTGATGGATCATGGTGTAGATACCTGGAGATTGCGAGAGTTGGCTCTCAACACAACGACCCCCTCGGCTCCATCACCTCACCTATCACATAAATTTGAGAAATAAAAAAGTATTAAGAGAGTCTGGATTTTCTACTCACAGCCACACATGTGGAATATCTCAACATCGCAGCCCACATAAATAGTGTTTTCAACCCAATCAGTCCAATTGGTAACCTTTTTATGGTGCTGATCATTTCACGGGGTTATTGAAGATCTGGTTGAAACCCAATCAGTCCAACATCGCAGCCCACGCTGTTAAGTGTCATCCAGGTCAGTTTTAGGATGTTCTCGGTACTGTGGTCTTTCGTCTCATGTGGTGTGTTTGAATTCTCAGAAAACCGTTTTCATACGGTCTTTACAGCCTTTTGCAGCTTGCATTGTAAATAAAAACATATAAATACTGATGTAATTCCCAATACTGTAAAATGGCTGAGGGAAAGGTTTACTTTGAAAGGATGAAATCTGAATTCGTCTCTATTGTTGTGTGTGGTTGAAATTGCCAAATCGCATTGTTTGAACCACGAGACCCTCTATAGTTGTTTTGTATTGTAAAGTGGATATTTTGTGGATCAAGATTTTCAAATCATCATTGACCTGCATAGTCAGATTGTTCCCTGAACCATTATTTTGTCAAAAATAACGGCTAGATGATTGAATTGTTAATTCATTCAACGCAAACAATGGTTTTTTGTTGAATTTTTTACATTTTAATTTTTTTAAATGTTATTGGCTGAGTGATTCATTTGGATCCAACGATTGAACTGTTGATCCGAAAAATGGTGGGAGCAAAAGCAGTTGCGTTCGAATTGGTTTGTAAGACATTGGTTTGAATCAAGGTTCAAAGTATCGCCTTTGTGTATCAGTAGAGGTATATTGGTACTTAAACAAGTGGATCAAGGTTCAAGCATATTTTTTATTAAAAAAGAGTAAGATTCCAAAATACCTGCAAACAAGTGTATCGGACCCCCAAAAATATAATACGGTATATCCAATACAGGGCATAGTATATTGATACTTTGAACCTTGGTTTGAATATATTGCCAAAAAAAATTTTAATAAAATATCTTAATGACTTATTCAATATATTATGCTATGAAATTTAACTATAGACAAAAAATTTCAATATTACCTAATTCAATCCACGCTATATATAGTGTGTGTTGTTCAAATTGGCCTATATATAGCGTGACATGGACTGACACCAAGCAATTGACGAAGTTTGTACTAAACACCCCCTAATTATTAGCTTTTACCACCCTTTCCAGGCGGTCAAACTATTTTTTCCTTGGCTTCAAGGCGGCCAAACCATTTGACCTATCATCATTCATAGCTGTTCTAACACTCAATTCGCTTAATGTCAAACAAGGTTCAGAAATAGAATATACATTGCAAGGTTTTTTAAACTGGACTGGACTGGACAGGAAACCGTTCTGAGACCGAATTCTGGGTTAAATGATTCAACCATTAGGTTCGAATTGACAGTTTATTTGACTTAAAAAATAAATTTGATACGTGAATCACTAAAGAATCAGCAAATCACCCATATCGGACACAAGAATAGAAATACTTCAACCGATCTCAAAACCCCACTAGTCAAAATTTAAAACCCATCAATCCAGGTGGTCAAACAGTTGAATCAATTAACCCCTTTAGTGGGTGATATAGGTCAAACCATAACCACTTAATTCTATACCACCAACTAGGCTTTATGTACTTTATTATTTCCCAAATCTCACCCCTATTACAATTTAGATTTTAGCCATTTAGACAAAACCCTAATTAACAGTAGGTTTATTGGCTGTCACCGCTACTTCTAGGATCCAAGGTCAACCTATTATTCCACTACAATAGCCCAAATTTGATTTATTGATAAAATGGACTGTCCTGTTCAACCTGGATGGTTGAACCAGTAAACCGTCACCCAGAAAGAAAAGTGGTTCAACCATCCAGACTTTAAAGCATTATTTTTTATGGCACTCAATGAAAAAAAACTCCTTTTATGCATCCATGGTGTTGGTGTTGCAGTTAGACTTGTTCATGGGCTGGGCTGGGCTGGGCTAAGCTGGGCCAGGCTCGGGCTAGACTTTGTCTCTGTATTAATAAAATATATTCAGGCCCGAGCCCGAGCCCGATTAGAAAATTGAAAAAAGATTTTTTTTTTCTTTTTTTATTCAATAAAAAACTATTTTATTTATATTAAAAGACCTCAAAACCTTAAAAATAATAAAAAAATCTCACTGTTACTTGAAAAAAGATAAAAATAATAAAGAAAAAATGTATTTTTTATATATATTATCAAGTCGGATTCAGGCTAGGCCAGGCTTTTTTGAGAAAATCCGAACCCATGAGCCTGATATCTTGTGCAACCCGACTTAGATCGGGCCGGGATACAATATTGCCATTCTGAACCATTTACCAAACAAAGTGGGGGGCTTTTGTGTTGGCCACTTATTCAAATCTCACAGCTCACATCTATCGAGAGAAGATTTTTTATTTTTGGACTGAAATTCTTATTCGCCTATCCAATATCCATACAGGATTAGAAAGGGAAATTTGTAGGGCTATTTGGGGCCCCAAGTTTTAATTCTAGTCCATACATAAATGTGATTTATTTTTATGGGTCTCTTTCACTCACTCTCCACCACATTGTCTGCTGTTGTAGTTGTAGGTAGGAGTAGAAGTTAGGAGGAGGTATGAAATTCAATAAGAATAAGCCTGAGATTCAGAGTCAGGTTCCATGGATTTAAGCAGTGTTACACGCGTATAAGCAACTTCCTTCACAAAGTGGGTCCCTGAGGTTTTGTTGTATTCCCAGTACCACAATCTGTCAAACTCAAATCAATACAAGAATAATCGACTCTAGGAAACACATTAGCTCTTCGGGTTCTTAGTCAACCCGGTTCAACTGTGAGAATGCTGAATGCCACCCATTAGGAAAATGCCAAATGTACTACTCCCCTCAACCCACTGCCTACTGCTTCTGGCTACTAAGTGTCTGCCTAAACAGAGCAAGATGTGCGTGTGCCTGTGTGCCTGTATGCTTGTGTCTCATAGAGAGAGAGAGCGTCGCCACCTGACCTTCACGGGCTGGAATGGCAGACCTGTTGGCCGGGCTCTCTCCCTCTCTCTCTCTCTCTCTCTCTATATCTATCTATCTATTTCAGAATTCAGAGTCACCGACTTCTCTCAATCCCAAGACACCACCGGAATATCTGATTGAAACACGGCCACTGTACAATCTTTCTCTTGCACTCTGCCTCTTCACCTGAACAACCCAAAGTAGAGAAATTAACAGTGTCAAAAAGCGAACACCGTGGGTGGCAACGAAAAAAGCATCCAAACTTCTTATGCATGTTGGTGTCCAATGTCCATGTTTCAAAAACACACGAAGTGAGCAGAAAATTGAAATTTATCCCATCTCTTTTAGAGCGGAATGGCTTTTATTATGTTGCAGAGGTCAACATTTAAGACTTCTTGTGCTTTACTGGATTGAAAAGGCGGAGATTAAAGGGTGTCTACTAACCCGTGATGCAGTTATTTGTTATTGGAATTTGGACGCCATCCATGATCCCTCCTTCAATAAAGCTTCCGATGATTCTGCTCACTTTGCCCTTTTATGCTTCAGGTCGTTCATAAATCTCTGCATCTATTGGTTTATAACTTTATAGAGCTTATAATTCACTCAGTATTCCATTTTATTTTTTGATCTGGGTTCTTTGGAGAATTCGTTTTAAATAGATTCCGCAACTGCTAACATCATTTCTTGGAAACATATGGTGATTTTCTTCTGATTCACAAATCTGCAGTTAGCTTTCAATTTTGGCTGAAGACAAACACAAAGATGCGAGCAGATGGTTTTGGTCGTGGAGGCCAGTTTGCAACGCAAAAAGTCAAAATTGGTCGCCGTTGGTTGATTCTGCCGGCGGTGGAGGTGGAGACCAGGTGAAATGAGGAGAATCGATTGACCTCAGTACTGTAATTTTGTCCTGTGAACAGTAGAGCAGAGGATTAGGAATCCGCGAGAGCAGGGTGTATCACAAACCGTACAATGATTTGAGTTGAAGTCCTAGATCTAATCTAATGGTTAAAGGCTATAATCCTCAATCGATTGGACTAATTTACAGAAGAATTGCTGTAGATGGCGCAAAAGACACGAACGCATAATTGAAGCATAGAATAGAGAGGAAAAGATTGAAGAGAAGCGTAAGTATGACTGGTGGAGTCTGGACATATTTTGCTTTTGTTCCTTTCTATGTCTGAATGTGAAGCTGAAGAAAGAGGAGAGATCCTCAGTCCTCTCTAGATCTGCATCTGCCTCGGCCAACCTCAATGCTGTTGGGGCTCCACCTAAAAAGGGAAAATGACGTGCCTTTTGTCTTTTCTGGACCACAACCACCGATAAGATATGCGCCTGTTCTGTAGTACTAGAGCAGTTGTTGCTTGCCGAACGTGTGGCATCTCTGCATTTGAGCTTTTCTAAGGGCTAGTACCCTGGTAGGGTCATTCATTCTGCTCACTCCTGAGAGGTCCAGATTCCAGACACAGAGAAAGAGGCGTTTCCTATACGGGATCGTCCAGATAGGAATAGGAGATACTCAGATACCACCCTTATTTCTTTTTTTACTTCTGTGGTTGGACTTGGCCGGTTGGCCCCCACCATATATAACATGTCCAATGATCGATAGTTGAATGTAGTAATTCCACATCAGCTTAAATACCAGTCACTGTATTTGCCACGTGGCATTTCACTATAAGAAGAGATTATTGAAGGAGATAAGGGTGGGGGGGAATAAGAAACCAGAAAGGGAAATGTGCTTTGGTTGGGACTGAAAGATTCAAATAGAAAGGGGAGCGATAGTTGCTGTGCCTGTACGTGGTGGTGTGCCATACGCAATGTCGTGTAATCAAAGAATTGAAGACTGATGGATCCAACATCCAAGTATTCAATGAGAATCGTTGAAGAAGATGTAGGTGAGGACAAAAGACAGGGCCGGGTGATCCCAACCGTTAAAATCTACAACATGGTACAGGTGTATGTGACATACTCCCGGCACAGAGTTGGTTCATGGGTTGGAAGACTGTTTGTTCCCATTCTCCTGTCTCCTTGCACTTATCCTTGAGAGAAAGGATAATAATTTAGGGGTATCAAACTATCAATGGACCAGTTTTGGGTTGAACCCCCTGAAAATCAAAATTAAAATCAATTTGTACAGATTAGATAGATCAATAAGATATATTGAATTGGACCAGTCTAGACTCTAGACTTAATGGTCCTCAATTTGGACAGATTGGATAGATCAATAATATATATTGAATTTGACCAATCTAGACTCTAGACTTAATGGTCCCAAGTATTTAATGAATTGAACTGGACCTTGTCTATCTGTAATAGATTTATATTAGATTGGGTCGGATTGAACCAATATCCGATCCATTGATAGAAGATAAGAATATAGGTATTAATGAATTAGGCTTGATTTGAAACCAACCCAAATTAAAACCAACTTGAACATATTGAACAGTCCAAACATTGAATTGGACCATTCTAAATTGGTCCAAAGTATTCATTGGATTGAATTGTACCCGATCCATCTATGATAGATTCATATTGGATTGGACTAAATCCGGTCCAATTGACACCCTAGTTAAGTAGTTATACTTACCGTTGGAAAAATAACCCATCAATAGAAAATTAAATCTTCAGAGAAGTACGGATTTGCCCAATACAGATTTCTAATTTACACTGTAGAACTATAAACATTCAAAAGGACCACAACCTACACTCTATGCACCAATGCCCGCCCGTGAATTGACATCAATTCCGAACTAGCCTACAAATTCTGACCCTGGGCTGATCGGTCATTCTCCCTTAAATCTTTTTTTTTTTTTAAATATTAATGATTCGGATTGGACTAAAAATCGAAATGCTTAGTAGATCAAATATTTTAAAAATTGACCCAAAACTCAAACTGCTTTGACCACCGGTTTGTGGGATATGACCATTTGGTTCAAACAAATGGCCCATTCCAATTTAAAAAAATAAAAATAATTAAAATAAAAAAACATTCAAAATCATTGTTCGAATTAAACAACCGCCCAGATCAGTAAGTCACTAACCAAATCAACGATTTTGACCAAAGAGCAGATTAAAAGTAAAACCGAATCAATTACCTAAACGGTTCCCATGCCAAACGGCCAGACCATCTGGATCAACAACTGAATAGATCACGGTTTCATTGATTAATCGGATTATTAACCCGTTGAACTCGTAAAAAACGTCATTTAACCAGGATCCGGAATACCTACCGGCCCTACCGTCGGCGTAAGGTCCTATCGAAATCTTAGGACACTATTTTAGGATCAGAACCTTCCAACCTTGCCATGAAATAAATTAGATAAGTATGAAAATATTTCCAACGTAAGACTGTAAAAGGTGTTGGAACGGACTTTGCCCTACCATGGCCCCCTTGTGGAATCCTCTTTACTTGATTGGCCCATTTAACCACGTGCATCAGCAGTGCGAATATTTTAGGACATTGACATGTGGGGAAGGATGGTGACAAGTGGCACAATGGATGATGCCATGTCAGCTTGGATGAAGGAGACACTATAGTTAGGTTTATGAGGAGGAGGTAAAGTAAGTGGTATGGTTGGTTGATAGATTATTAATATGTGCTTCAACTTCAAGGCTAAGTCAAAAGTTTCAATTTTTCTAAATAAATCCAAAAGGGGGCAGGTTGCCCTATTCGGGAGAATCATGAATCAAAAGTAGATGATATTTCATCATCCTAACCATTCATTTGTCGCATTGAATATCGAAATGTCTCAATCTAATGGTTGTGATCTTACAACCATGTTGACTTATAAACAGGAAATTTCATTAAAAATATTTCGAAGGTGGGCCGTGGGCCCCCAGGCCTGATATTTTGAAAAATAATGGAACCTCATGGTCTGTGCAATATTCGAACTAGCTAGCAGCCTAGCACCTAGACCAACTCTTTTTACTAGAAGCATTGGATCAGAATCTTTTGCTTTGGGCAGAGATAAGAAATGCAGAAAAAACACTTTATTCATCTCAACTACAAAGAGAAAGAGATAAAAGATTCTGATCCAATGGCTGCTGCTAGAACCAACTCTCCTCTGTTCAATCAAATATTGGGGGGGGGGGGGATTTAAAAAAAGTATTTTGTTTTATAATCAAGTCCAAGTACGACGTGTTAGGGTTTAGTGAGTTTGGAAAAATGGTTTTCTAATCAGTACACGTTTAATAAGCCAAAACCCTTTTAGGTTTATTCTTTGATCGCATAATACATACAAAACACCTTTTAAAAATTGGATGAGCGGTCTGGCCCTATCCTTTACTAAAGCAGTTTTCTATACTTTAACAAGTACAGGATTTCACTTTCAATAGTTTATGGATCTATCGATACTTTGAAAAATAGTTTATAAAAATAAGATCATTAACATATCTTTTATGTTATATTAGATGAGCGGCACGTAAAAGAGAACAGAGATGAATAGGGTGGACTGTGGAGAGAAAAAAATAAATATACAAATTTCATTTGCATGGTGGTCTGGAGGTGAAGCCAATGGCAATCCTCGGTGTTATATACAAGGTTCGAAATATTATAATGTATCGGCGCTTATTGTGTTATCTGTATCAATTTTTAAATCCGTCGAAATGCTGTTTATAGGGAGTTAGATGGTGTTTCTATGTTTAAACATAAAATCAATATTTTAAAAATTGACTCGGAATCGGAACTGCTTTGGCCACCGATTTCTGGGTCAGCGGTTTTATTATCCATTTTGAATGGATGGCTCATTTTAATTTAAAAATAAAAAAGGGCCAAAACTGTTGTCTGAGTTGAATGGGTCAATGGTTCGACATCCCGGGTCAATAGGCTATTGACCAAGTCAATGGTTTTTTGTCAAGATACGGATTAAGGGTGAAATAGAAGCAGTTGGATGGTTTTCAGGCTGAATGGTCTGACCATCCGGGTCAACAACGGTTCAAAAAACCATGCATAAAACCCCTTCTAACATGCTTGACCTTGAAACATTAGACTGAAATGATACTAATAGAAAAATACTATATCAGTAGGGGCGTAAATGGATCAAATTTGAATCAATCCAGGTAATATCTGAATTCGAATATGATCAGAAAATTCAATATCTGAATTCGATTTGATATCTAATGGATATTGGGAATTAATATTCAAATTCGAATTTGATTAAATATTTGGATACAAATTCGACCAATTAATTATTTTTAGGAAATTAATAAATATATAAAATAAATATTTTATTTATATAAATATATAAATTATTTATATAATTTAATTATATATATTATATAAAGCATTTAAACATTATATATATATATATTATATAAGAATTAAATAATTGATCGAATTTGAATATTTATCGAATTGAATCAGGTCATATCTGAATTCGATTTTGATTATGTTGAATCTTGAATTTGAAATCGAATTTTTGAATACATTGACACCCCTATATATCGGCCTTTAAAGGTGGGTAAAATACAAAGACTTGTCATGTTGTACTTTGGGGGTAGTGACACTTAAATCCCAAAGCTTTCATTTGTGATAGAGAATTACCTTTACTTTTAGATTCCAACACTCTAAACCCACAGTTAATATTTCAGCAGTTTTGAACTTTTATGAGATCATTTTGCCCTTTTAGAACCCTATGCTTTGAACTTTTTCTATCTTTTTTTTTTTTTTTTTCTTTTTGTAACAGAGAGAGGAATGAGAGTTGAAAGAGGTAGGGTTCAAACTTAGCTTTTAAAGATGCAATAAAAGAAAAGGGCAAAATGGTTTCATGAAAATAGAGTTTGGAATATAAAAGTACAGGGTAACTCTTTCCCGGGAGTCAAGTACCCAAGTGTCACTACCTTTGAAGTGTAGTTCACTATATTTTACCCATTTTTGCATTTTATGAAAATGGATACTTTGAACTAGACCTGTTCATGGGCCGGGCCAGGCTTCACCTCTTTATCAACAGAAAATATGCAGACCTGAGCCCGAGTCCAGCCCAACCATCGGGCCTAGATCTTGAGCATGAGCCCAGCCCTTATATAAAGCCCAAAGCCCAATCTGTACACAAAATGTCTTATTTTTTAGTGTACTTTTATAAACTAATATTATATTAATTTAGTAATAATTTAATAAATTAATAAAATATTTTGTATTTCCTAATAATAAATTAATATTTATTAATAATTTAAGAAACAAATATATATTATATATAACATAAATACTTTTTTATTATATGTAATAGTGTTGGGCCAAGCTTGGGCCCAGGCCGGGCTGGCCCGTCCGGCTACCCAGCCCATTCTACCTTGAACCATGATTATATTGGTAAAGATAATTTATACAGGCCAATGGATGATATATCTTTGATGTATGCGGACGTAATCAATATGTGCTAACCCCCCCCCCCCCTTCTCCCAATTCTCCGGGAGGGGGATAGTTCATGGTTTTGTGGGGTTCTTACTTGTGCAAGCCTAAGAGAAAGGACCCAAAGGGAAGGAGTGGTGGTCCATAATCCATATCTACTTGGATCACTGGAAACCCTCTGGGCTCTATAGAGGACATAAACTTTTAGAGATTGGTCCCCCATTTAATGGTTCCCGCCCCACCTGATTAAATGATTGGTACCATACCACAAGGTGTCAATACAACAAGGCTCAGCCCGCCTTCAGGCTGGGCCAACCACAGCCCAACAGGCCAAGCCCAGCTTGGGGATATCTACTTGTACACGTGATATGATGATAAGAAGTTGTTAACCCATGATGAACATTATTTAATGGTTCCCCCTTTTTTACAAGTGGACCCTATCGACCTGGATGGTTATTGCACAACATACCACCGAAGCCCATGTTCACCAAATTATGTCTGAACCGACCATTTACGGAGTAGACATATTTTTAACAGTTTCATTTCATTAAAGCATTCTTCCTTCACACTAGTTTTGGTTTTTGAATAAAGAGGTTTCTGTGTTGCCTCACAGGTATAGTGTATTAGTGGTACAGGGTTTATTTTGGATGGGTGAAAAACGAGAAGAAAACAAACCATTCGATTGGGATCTAACCCCCTGCGACTAATGATTTTGGGCTGCTATAAAACGACCCATGTAAGGTAAACTGGGCACCAACTGCTTTTTCCCCTTTTGAAGCTTGTGGGTGTGTTTGTGACAGGTTTTCAGACAAGCGCATTCAGCAATAACTACAAGTTCGATACAGATGTATCACTAAAGGCAATGGTCAGCTTTATCAAAACCATCCAATGACCCTAATCAGAAGTGCAGGGACCCACCCATTTGCCTACCTAGAAGATTCATAATTCATTGCAGACGCACAGTAGTTCTCCACAGAGCGATGATAGGCAATCCTTCAGACTTTAATGAACATTAGATGTCCTTTTCCAAGTAGATAGAATGAGGTTTGTCCTTGAGTGGAACAATGGGAACTTTCATAACAGTGACTAAGAACTCCAAAGTTAAGACTGTAGCTCTTGTATGGAAAACTATTGCAGCAAAATCATGCCTTTAGACTTCAGAGGTTCAGCATATGATATTTTATTCTCTAGATACAACGTCACTGTGGAAAATGAACAGATAGGTCAACCATTCCAAGTGCAAGCGGAAGGAGAAAATATTCTACTCTTCATCAAAAATTTCTACTTTGTTTTAATACAACTGACAATGAACCACCTTTGCTTTCTTACAAAATTTGATGAGTTTAAAGTGCATCCATCCAATAAAAGCAATGAGAAAAGAATGGACTGATGCTAAATGATAGTCAAAAGACTCAAAAGTCAAAGCTCAAAAGGGTGATTCCAGGGATTTACACTTATGCCCATGAAGATTTCAGACGGTCAGCAACTCCTGAAAACCAACCATATCCATAGATAAATGTAAAACATTAAGAAAATTGAATATACTGCACTTATCGAGCACTTGAACTATGAAGAGCATGATTTGATATGTAACTACAGATCTACAATTCAAAAATTGAAATCAGGACGTGCATCAAGCAGTAATCAGGACTTTGATTTCTTCCCTAGGCCTTATCCACACACACACACACCATTCTCATTCTTAATGGTTGCTAGTGCTTCTAATACATGCTCATATATTTTGGGCCTTTTATGTCACACCAAAGGAGCAAAAAAGTTAAAACGTTGTATACGTTAGGTCTTTTTACAAAAGTATCTAAACATCACCTCAAAGGCCATCAAGAAGAACCCACCACCCAATCAGTGCAACCTATTATTTCTAGGCACAAGAAAAAAAAAATCTAGAGGGTGCAGACCATTTTGTGGGCTATTTCCGAGTCTAAAAGAAGACTATAACAACAGTAATGAGACATTTTATTACATCATATTTCTGAATAAAAAGCACATTGACAGCATTAAGAAAGTTTGGGGTCCAAATCCTTCTACATCACATTTACAAGGAGTGCACTGCTCATTGATCATAACTATAAATTGAGAAGCGGACCTATTGGTTTCACAAACTGTGCAAATACAAGTTATGCCCAAGAAAGTCAAAAGAAGCTTCTTCCATTCAACCTCAGAAACTTTCAAGAAAAATTGCAAAAAACATTGATCTTGAAGCAATTAAAACAATAAACAATCATACATCATGAAAACATCACCTCAGCTGATCACTGAGCTTTGGTTGTTAAAATAGTCACAGAAAAGAACAAGGTGATGCATGGGAAGTCATCCTCAAATTCCTCTAGTGCAAAATGTGGCACACATGTGGAGGGTTCAAGGCTAACCATCCAGTGCATCTCAGCTAAGAGATAACTAAAAACAAGGCGAATTGATTGACTGTAACCATCTTACCTAACGGAATTTTATTTAGGCCTTCATTTTCTTTACTTTCATTTTTACCGTCTGAAATAAGTAACGACAACAACAATGATTTTAAAGCAGGAGCCCTCGTAGCTAGGGCCCAGTATTGAGCAATTGGCCCCAAGTCCCAACCTCCTTAGGTATATACTAAAAGGGCAGCCCAGTGCACGAGTCTCCTTAGGTATGCTCATATAGAAAAATAGATAGAAAGATCCTGTAAGAAATATCACATCTGTGTTATCAATCTATAGAATTGAAGTACTAATATACCTTCTCCTTTTGTTTGTACACAGAATCAATCTTCTTCATATACTCATCTGTGACTTTCTGCAATGAAGGGGCAATACTTGGTCATTTTCAAGAAATTATTTTGACAAACAAGTAGAAGAAAAAGAAAGGATATGGATTAAGATGACCACAGAAAAATGACATGCAGGATAGAGAACAAGCAAGTTATTCAATACCTGCAAATCACTTGATAAATCTTTAACATTGTCTTCAGAAAGCTTTTTCTCCTGCAAAACAGAGAAAACATCGGAGGACAGAATCTGATAAACAATTAGAAAGCAAAATAACACCCTATGAAATATGGAAAAAGAAAAGAAAATTATTGACAGATGAGAGACACCAAACCTTCTCAAGTTTCTCATAGGATTTTATGGCATCTCTTCTTATATTCCTTAATGCCACCTATAAATGATAGATCTCTGAGGTTTTAAAAAAGTTTGAGAAAAACATCTCTGATGAGGAAAAATAACATTTAGCAAATGAATAACTATATAACAGAAAATAATCAGATTCCCTAGGCATTACTCTCCATATCAAGCCTCCTTTTCATAGTTTCACCATCACTACATCACAATTCAGGGGAAATATTTAAAATGATTTGTTAATGCAAGTTGGATACTCTTCTGAGAAATTGTGCTTATAAGTAGCTTTTCCATCCTGACAAGTAGTGAAATGCAAATAGGAAAATACGCAACTTAGTGACTTACATAATGTAATATGCTTTTAAAGGTGAATTGGCCCTTGTACTGATTAATAAGAAACATTAGCCTTTTCCCTTGATTGGTAGCAAATATAAATAAGGAAGCTACACCATTTCAAATATAAAAAGGTTGCTCATAGAAATTCCTTGCAATGGTTCTCTAACCCTTTGCAACTATAACTAATGTTCTCTATCAATTTAGCAAGCTCATTGACCATGTGAGGTTTCACAATTTACAGCACTAATGTAGCTAGAGGAGCCTTCAATACCAATGACAATGAAAACATCATGCAGAATTCTTTTATCCATCAAGCGGTACCTTACTTTTGCCAATTAGAGTAATTACATACTGTTGGACAGGAAACAGAGCTTAGACTCTTAGTTGGCAGTGAAAAGTCTGCAGGATGTCAAACCTTGGGCCTAGGATCTAATCATGCATTCATCATCTCTTGAATCATCAACTTTTTCATTTGCCTTTTCAAAACTTACCCCTAACCAGCCAAATCCAGCATTCAGAACAGCTTGAGACTTCAGATTTTGTGCATATTACATGTCAGAAGTTCAAACCAAACAATGGAAAACCTCCAGTCCTAAGCCAGAACCTGACCAGTTTATTAGATGCTCTAAGCCAAGTATAAAATTTTCTTTGGATATAGCATTCAGAAATTTAGGATCAATCAGGTTCCCCAAAGTAGGTACACTAATCCATCAAAAAAAAAAAAAAATCTGGGTGCACAATGTGTGTTAAGCAGATGCTTTTTTTCCAATTCTCTCCATCTTGGTGCTAGTATTCCAAAACAAAATTAAGAAACAAGACATATACATTTTCACCATCCATGTATGTTTAAGATCCAGAATGAAGCATACCTTCCCTTCCTCAGCTTGTTTAGCCACAATTTTCAATAACTCCTGGGTTCAGAAAGAGAAGAAAGGAATTAGCAATGAGAAATTTACCAGCATATCCAAAGGAGCTTGGCTTCTTCTTCATCTCCTTTTACTATGTACCACATTTGTTTTCTTGATCATTTAATGAGGTACTATGGTCCAATGTGTCAAAATTTCATCAAGGTTTAGCATTTAGATTGTCAATCTTTAATCTCAAGCCAGCTATTGTGTCAACATAAAGTAGATGAAATTTTTTTCAGGCTCTGAAATATTTTTTTTGATGAATAATAATAAGTTTATTGATTCAGGCTCTGAAATATTTGAGCTTTTGTCTTCCCTGATTACAATGAAAAATACATTTTCCTTGCCATTTACATCAAAATAAATCAGAAGAGGTAGAAAACAAAGTTTCTGCCATAAAAAGCGCACAAATAATAGAAAAAATATTTCAGTTTAAAATATTATACATCCATTTTAGATAGGAACAAACACAGCCTAAATCTCTTCTCTTGCTTTTACCTTTTAGTGTAACTTTTTGGCTAATATATATAGCTCTACATTAATCTAGTTATTTTACAAATACATAACCTATTTATTCTTTTTCTATTCCCATGCTCAAGTGAACCACATACTGCAAATGTGAGAAGGAAGGTACAACCTATTAGGCCTTGAAACTTCCAATACAGTGATTCAATGAAAGAATTTTGTTATTCCAAGTTTAGTTGGAGTGACGTATCAGATTTAAAAAAAATAAAAAAAGGCATCTTAATATGCTTTCTTTTTCATATTAAAGCAATCTTTGTAGTTATTATATAGAAAATTAAAAGATGCATGTAAAATTAAAATGAATGAAATAATAGGCAATATATGAAAATTGTGAAATAATGCTAGATAATAGGGCAAAATATAGAAAAACAAAGTGAGCATTCTTCTCAAAAGAAAATAAGTGTGATGTGTAGGGGTTTTAGGGACAAAAGGTATAAATAAGATTTCCATTCTGCATGTAACATATTTCAGGGCATTATCAAGGGTGAAGGTACATTAAGGCAATGGGCCATGATAGAAACGAAACAAATGGGTAAGAAGGGTGAGATCAAGATCAGTGTTAAATTAGTTGCTTTAGGACATGTGGATGATGGTGCAAGCATGATTCAAAATACTGGTCAGACTTGGTGAAATATCCCTGAAATCTCTCCATTTAGCTAGAGGCAATACACAATATTCCAAGAATCTTTCTTTTCCCTCTTATCTCTGAAGAATTGTCTTTATATCAGTGATAAATTTTATTGATAAATCATACATCTAAGATCTGAAAGTTTGGAATGTTATTGAAACTTTCCAATATTTCAATAAAATCATCAAAAGTTTTTGAAAATCTTTTCCTGAAAGAATAAATGGTGATTCTATGATATGGTTCATTTACTAAGTCATTGTGATTAAAAAAAAAAAAAAGAAAGAAAAAACAACATAACTATAAAAGAGGATTCTCGATTACAATAAAAAAAAATAAAAGGAAGATACTCGATCTAATCAAAACATATAGTACCAAAAAAGATGGAAGTCAAAATGGTAAGTTAATGACAATATGTATATAGGAAAGATAGCTAAAAGACTAAAAGGGAGATAGCAAAAGATGCTTATTCAAATCTCTTAATCTTCTCTTGTTTGGTATATGCAGTTATTTGCTATGGTTATTTGAGTTTTCAATGCACAAGTATCCTTCTTCTAACAATACATTAAGTTTTATTAACAAATTCCATGTTTTCAATATTTTCCCCAAATTCTTTAGATTTTCCATATCTTAGAGCAAAACATCCCAAAATATTCCCACTTTAGCATAAGGAAGAAATTAAAAATCATGGGAACAAGAATATTATAGTTATTTGTTATAATCTCTTTTTGAGTGGCATACATATAACTCTAACAGAGGCTTTCAAATCAATCCAGATTGTGGCCACTGTGGAGAAAGAGAAGATGGAAATCATATTTTCCTGAGATGCCAGCTGGCAAAGCAAGTTTGGGGGAGTATAGAAGGTCCGAACTTGGGCTCCAGAACGGATGAGGAAGATCTTGAACAGTGTTTAACAAGAGGAATCAAGGACACAAGGGAAAATGTAATAAACTCAGGATGGGAAAGAGTCAGTTTCCTGCTCTGGAGCATCTGAAAACAAAGAAATGAAAAAAATTATGGAAACAGAAGAGGAAACAGAAGAGGAAAGAGACCAAAAGAAAAATTATGGACAGGATGGACTCCACCTAGAGAGGGCTGGTTAAAGATAATCTTTGATGCCTCAAGTCAAGGCAAGGAAATGGAGACTGTGCAATTGGGTGCATAGTAAGGAATTTGTATTTCGCAGGGGAAGATTGTTCATGTGATTTCAAGCTTGATAGGAAGAACTACGATCAACGTGGCATAATTCATTGCTGCAAGGATGGCTCATCAGATTGTGTGGAAGACAGTAAGAAGGATGCTTTTTTCTTTCTTTTCTTTTTCTCTTGTAGTGCTTCCCTATATGTACCAAAAAAAGGTTTAAAGGCCAATAAAGGAAATTTGGTATATTGCATAAAATACTATTGAAACATGGGATAAAATAAATTACCTTCCTCCTATCAGATGTCAATTGTGGAACGGAAAGACGTATCACTTCTCCATCATTGTTTGGAGTTAAACCAAGATCGGAATTGACAATGGCCTTCTCAATAACTTTTAAGCTGCAAGAAAGTTGCAATTACGAAAAAGAATAAAGGATAAACATAAAGAAAGACAAAAACAAAGTCTACTTTTTGATTGGTACAAAGACAAGGTTACTTTTTTGGAGATACTCACCTTTAAAAGAAACAAAGACAGGATTTAACAAGCCTAAACATAGAGAAAATTACATAACAATGAAATATATAGAAAAATACATGGGCATCACTAATACAATACCAGCCTCTAATATTTTTTTTTGGAATACCAGCCTCTAATATTAGAATAATATACATGGCACATATGGAAGATTTGGTAGCAGTTGATGCATTAAACAATTAAGATTAATTGGAGGTTCTTCTTCCAATATGTTCCTACTTGTATAGTCAAAGGAAATATCCTTATCAAGTTTTCACAACCTGTAGCTAACCTATTGGGTTGACATTTCCAACACTGGATCAATAAGGTTGAATTCAATGAACGGTAGGTCCCTAACCTCTTTGCATGTGCAATCATATCAACCACAAAGAAATGGTTAGGTTGGACCTCTTAATTTCCCAATACTATAAAGTTTCTTCATATAAATCATTTTATGAAACTGTACCTCGATTTATCATATGGCTGAATCAGAAGAGAACTTGCATCTGGAGTACTTATTTGTGCAATGCTCTTCAAGCTGACAGGAGTTCCATAGTACTCAACCTGAAATATTAATGTCTCACAAGATGAGGGCCTGAACAAAATGAAGCACCACTTTTGAAAAGATGAAAAAGTTAATATACAATATATCCAAAAGGCTATTAGCTCAATTAGTTAGCGTATTGTGTTATTAGCAAAAAGGTTATAACCTTGTATGTTCAAGTCCTATATAGACTTAATTGTTTAAACTCTAAAGTCTAAACATCATAGGTACAACGACAAACTTATTTAACATCATATTCAATGCCAATTCATCGAAACACAGAAACCAGCTAGGTGATGCACAGCCAGAATATGGATGGTTTAGGCCCGTATCAGAGATTCTTGATAATTCAAACTTTCAACCTCCTCTGCTAACACTTAACAGAAGATGGATCAGCCTCCTATTATGTCACTTCTTTTAGAGCGTGTGCGTATACGCATGCATGTGTAAGAGAGAGAGAGAGAGAGAGAGCAGTGGATCTTTAATTGCTTAATAAAAAAACCAATTGGGTTAGGGTTTGGGTTGAGCTCAACCCATGTTTAACCCTTTTTCTAGTTGGATTCTAGGTCAAGCAAGTAGGTAAAAGAGAACACTTGACTATCTTTTTATAGAAGGATTTATTGGCAAAACTATGAAATCCAAATGAGGTTTGATTATATTAGCAGTCTTTTTCTTTTTTTTTTTGCTTGGGTTGGAATTATTCATCAAACAGATTTTTTTTTTCCAAAACAAGGTTCAGTGTAAAGCAAACTAAAGCAGCTCGGTATTCTTATCTAAAGGTTTGGTATATTCACAAAAAAAAGTATTTATTTATTACCTGAGAAACATGAAATTTGCAGACCAAGTGAGCAAACCATGGTGGACTTAGCATCATAATGTTGATTTATATCCCAAACAACCTAGACATAAAACTATCATCCTTGGCTTGTGCTTTTGCATTTACTTCTTCAAATTTTATGGCTGATTCGTTTCCATTTTTCATAATTGACTATGAAGACTGCAATTTTCATGTCCTTTGTATTAATAAAAAGCAGATTCAAATGGACTTTAGATCAAGATAGACCCGAACAACATCATTTTACATGCCAGTATTGCATTTTTGTGAGTTCAAATTCATATTTTTTCATGTTCCATACTTTTTGCAGCCTTCGGGTATGTCTGAGTTAGAATCAATTGGAAAACAACCACTAGTTATCATACATTCCCTAATTATGTAATTAATCATTTGATTAAAACAAGTAAATTACTCATTACAAAGGGAACAATGAAGACGTTAAACGAACTTAATACCTCAACTCTATCAAGCATGGCTGGGTTTGCTCTTCCAGTCCTTACTGCATTAAAATTTCCTCTAACTGTTTCAATAGTCTTTTCCATCCTTTGTTTCTGCAGAACAATCAAATCATGGAGTACAATGTTTGTGATAATAACTGCAAATATTCGATAACAAGTATGGGGCAATGCTCCACACAGAGTATGTTTTTCAATATCATGCCTGCACTATAACCATGAGGGACACTTACAACATCCTTCTCAATCAAAGATTTCTCAGCTTCAATTTCTTCAATGGTGGCACACCTCAAAACTCCTGCTCTGGATATGAAATTGTAACAACATGCGGTACCGAACACATCAGGAAGGAATCACAAAAAAGGGTTGGCAAACAAAAAAAATCTACATGCATAACGACCCAAGTACAACTACAATAAAGAAAATGATCTGGAGATGGACTTACCTCTTCTGTTCCGATAGTTTTACAACAATGGGCTTGCCAGAAAATTTCCTGGTGCCAACTTGAAGGCTTACGTAATTTGCAGCTGAGCTCCATGAAGCCACGTTTGTGCATGTGGAAAGACATTTCTTGCAACTGGTTTCTCTGCAGTAAGAACCTGAAAGTATTCACCATAAAACAGGGATCCAATCGAAAATTGCCATAAAACAGGTTTGCAACAGCCAAAGTTTTTCCAATACTGACTGCCCGAGTAATCTGGAACTTGCATGGCCCGAATTGGCTAACCATACTCCAAGTTCCACGTTTACATTCGAATTTTAACGGAATTAGGGAGACCTCAATTAACTCAGACAAGTTGGTTCGGCGTTAGAACTCCCAAATCCCATAACACAAAACCAATTTTAAGTTCATATAAGCAAAACTGGCGGGTCAATAGCGAATCGGTAACAAATTGCAATTCAATTACTCCGTGTCTCAATAAGGAGCCGAACAGTCCATAACTACGATTACGGAAAGAGTAACAGAACTCCATCAATTACTTGAGAGCTGGAATCTTGAAACAAAACCCTAAACCCCTAACCTCCTCCCCTGCTCCCAAACCAAACAAATAAATAAAATTCAAAACGTAAAAAGGTTTATAAAAAGCTACTGACCTTGAAGAGTTAGGGATGCATTGGTAGTGTGTGATTTAGTCTGATAGAGAGACCGTACAGAAGCAGCGGACGAGAACGGCATCGCCATTAAAGCTGGAGAATCGGAAGGAGATAACTATGGAACTTCGCTAAAAGAGCACTCTTCAGTGAAAAAAAAAAAATTGTTGGTTAAGTCGGGAAAGAAGAAGGAGATGAACGATGCAAGAGTATAGAAGGCCAGACACTAGAGACTAGAGGGTAGAGAGTTGGAACTTGGAAGGCAACTGGGTAAGCTCAGTCTCAGCCTGTCAACACGTCAACACGCAGAGGCAAGAAATTTGGATAAGAGGAGAGAAAAGGTTATCTTGTCGACAGGGATATTTTTCAGTTCTCATCTTCCACTCTCCGTCGTTCATTTTTTTTTGTTTTGATCGTATCTCCATGCTGGATGGCGGATGCTGCAGGCAAGAAATTTGGAATGTGTCTATAGTCGGATCTGCTTACTACAAATCTACAGCCGCACATTGTGAACATTATCTTATTATACCATTTATTATCATGCGAGATGTTCCCAATGTGCTGCTGTGATATTACGTGCACACGAACGTCGCCAGCGTTTTATAATAAGCAGGCTATAAATTACGATATGATACAGTGAATAAAGTCTAAAAATAAAATTGCCTGAGATTATGTAATAATGATTTTTTATGATTAAAATGATATTTTTTATTTAAAAAATAAAAGAAATACATTTATTCGAATAAATATTACGTAGGAAATATTTATCAAACAAAGCCATAATACCAGAGATGTTCCCATGTGCGACTGTAGGAGGTATCGCAGAGCGTTTTGTAGTTGGCAGATCCCAAATTCAGCCCAATTTTGCACAAGGTGGGCTTGAGTTTTTAGGTATGGGCTGGCCTTAGGCAGAAGTCTTAGGTTTGACTTAAATTTGGGTTGATTTTGGATTAGCACCTTCAGGAGACTGAACCCGACCCAATCCAGTGTGAGCCCACTCAAACAAATACATATATGCGTGCCATTTATTTATATAAAAATTCTTTTTTCATTATATATACATAATAAAAAATAAAATTTGCCCATATTTTTCAATCATTTTTATTTATATATAAAGATGATTATATAAAAATATATTCATAAATTCTTTTAAATCCAACTAACCCAATCAAGCCCAACTAAGCCCTACCTAATGCAACCTAAGCCTAAGAAATTACCCCAAATTGTGATAGATTAAACTTGAGTTGGGCTTGGATTGATAAATTTGGACTTAACCTCAAATTGGATTGCCTGAATCCAATGTTGCACATTTAGAATTGGGTCTAAATTGACCTTCATCTTGATCCAATCTGCCCTAGTTGCACCCCTATGCTGTATACTGAGATTCAAAATTCAAGAGCCTGCAAATTGTATCTCAAATTGGAATCTCATCCCAATATTGATCTGAATTCTATAACTTTATAATTAAATTGTTTATGGATACCATCCCAAATCGAATTATATCTACACGAATACATACATATAATTAGGTGCTTATTTTATTGAAATGATAATTTGATTATGTTTAATTTAATTTATTAATAATTTAAGATTAGGGCTGCAAGTTGGGTTGCGGGACTTAGGGTTTCAACTACATGAGGCTTACCCCAACCTGACCCAAGTTGCACCAATGATGTCCAAGTACAATGCAAATCTGATCCGAATCCAACAGATAATATTCTATTTGAATCCAACTTTTAATACATCAGATTTGGATTTAGGTATATCCATTAATCCATTTGCAGTGTTAGATAGGAATGGCACGGGGCGGGGCAGGGACGGGGAGCTTCTCCCCATCCCCGTCCCGTCCCCACTAACGGGGACAAGGTTATCCCCATCCTCATCCCCACAGGGATCCCCATTCTCCGTGATTTTTTATAATGTTAATAATTTTATTTTTGTTTTTTATTTTATTTAAAAAAATAAAAATAAAATAATTAAAATTTACAATCCTATTAGAAAAGATTCAAACATATTCAACCATATTTTTAAAAATATTAATATATAGATGTATATATATATATATATATATATATATATATATAACGTATGCATTACATATATACATATATATTAGTGGGGATCCCACGGAACGGGGATTGGGGTCCTTACGGGGAAGGGAGTGCTCTCCCCATCCCCGCTAACAGGGATGAAAATTTCTCCATTCCCATCCCTGCGGGGGAAAAATCATCCCCATCCCTGTCCCATTCAGAGTGGATCCCCATAAAAATTGGAGAAATAGGAAATATTGCCATCCCTAGTATTAAACATCCTTTCAAGCAAGCTTTTCTTAATGAAAATAGAATGTTATTTTTATAAAGAGCACGTGCCAGAAAGCATTAATCATGTATGATATAATATTTGGATTTCACTTTTATGAAGTAAATATAATGGAATTCAAGGTAAACATCTGCTTTATATTGTACTAATGTTAGATTATTGTACTAAAAACCAGCCTCATGGGGGGAAGGCACAACTGTTACATACTACAGCCATTAAGCTAGATGGTATGCATATGCATATGATGTATGAAGATGCTCCTAATGGGCGATCATCAGTAGTGTTGTTAGATGTGGACTGGACCGGATGGTTGAACCGGTGATCAAGTAACTTTTTTACATCGTGGTTAATTGATGGTTTTCAGGGTTTGAATGGGCTAATTTTTCCGGTTAACTAATAATATTGGACCAAGCGAGAATTCTGGTTTTCTGTGGAACAAACCAATCCAATAATACGATGTAACCTTTCACAAATTCAGTTATAGTTATTAGAGAGGGTGTTTTGTTTGTGGTTGTGTCTGTGTTTCATCTGGTTTATAAATACGATTAGTATTTTGCATGCGATTGCTGGTTTTGGAACTAACAATCCATGGTTCCGGAATCAGCAAAATGGCCATTTCTTAAACACAACTTTTTTGCATTCGAATATGCTTAAACTTCATGTGTGTAGTGTGGGTAAAAATAGTAATATTCTTTTAATTAAAAAGATAAATGAGGGACTAAGTGGGGTAAAGTGTAACTTTCGATCCACTCATGTTAGATCCCCAATAAAACTTAGCCACCTGCCCTGTATCCATGTAAAATAGATTTAGCATGCCAATTCTCAACCAAGGCATTAAAAACTGGCTTCAATTCTATAAGCAAACTTTGCAAAAATAAAAAAGAAAAATAATATTTTCATTTTTTCACATGAAACCAAAACCCCAAGCCCTATTCTCTCTTCCTTTTCCAGCCTTCCCTTCTACAATCTTCTCTATTCTTCTTTAAGTTGTATTTGGTGTTTTATGAAGAAACACCAATGGTACTAAATGTTGTATTGATAAATCAAAATTTGTGATAGAAAAAAAAAATTATAAAATTTGTATTGACCAACTTAAAATATTGTAAGTAAAAGTGATAATGGTACCAAATACAACTTTAGTCAACCAATAGACAAGCACTGTTCTCTCTGCCATCAAAGCTTGTCCTGTGTATAAATAACCATTGGACCCAAGTGTTATTGATGAAATTACATCATAGTTTTATTCATTTTCCCTTTGTTTGGGCTGTAGTAGTAATTTTCTGCATGAACTTGAATTTTTAGGGTATTGGATCTCTAACAACAACTTCTTTAAAGTTTTCTCTCCAAAACTTGGAAATTTCCTCAACCAATAGAGACTTGAAGCTCCTTATAGATTCCATCCTACCTAAACTTATGATATTATAAAGGGTAAATTACAGATAGGTACCCCGTACTTTGGAGGTAGTGGCATATAGGTACCGTGAACTTTCAATTGCAACACTTGGGTATCCTAAACTCTCAAAAATAGACATTTGGGTTCATCTCACAGTATTTCATCAACTAAACATTACATAATGCCAAAAACACCCTTCTCGTGTATTTTTGAGATCATTCTACGGAGTAAAACCATCACTAGAGAATGTCATCATCAAAAAATTTTAATATATTATTTGCTGCCCATGCGAGAACATCATCATGGGGAGACGTTCAATTACCTGAGAATGATCTCAGAAATACACAAGAAGGCTATTTTTGACATTATGTAATGTTTAACTAATGTAATACTAATGGATGAACCCAAATGTCTATTTTTGAGTGTTCAAGGTATAGGCGGGTGTTGCAATTGAAAATTCAGGGTACCCATCTGTCAATACCCCCAAAGTACAGGGTACCTATCTATAATTTACCCTATTATAAAACAGAAATTTAATGAATGCTAAATTTGGGAGAAGTGGTAACTTAAACTCAAGACAAGAGCTTTTTGATTGTTAAACGTGAAATTCAAGCATGAGTAGATCTATCCAAAGTAGTGTCCGTCTCTACAGCAATATTGAGCAAACGTGGTGCCTAGATTGGGTTGTGTAGCTGGATTATTTTATTTCATCTGATGTTGTGCAGCGGTCAATCAACCAAGGGAGGTTGCAAAGGGAGGGAGCAAAGACTGATATCGGATTTGTTCGTCAAAAAATTGGTCCTCACACCCACCTCACAGCTCTTTCATTTATGCAAGGGGAACATCTCCCCATGAAAAAACATACAAGTATTGAGATGTTTCTATGTGCAATTATTTAAGATGTGAGGTGGGCATAAAGACTGATTTTGTGAAGAGCAAATCCGAACTCATAAAGACTAAGGCCATGTTTAGGAGTGCTTAAAAATAAGTGTTTATTTGGGTCATTAAGCACTTATTGGTATTTGGGAAATAAGCCTATAATAAGTGCTTATTTTAAAAATAAGGGATAATTTTAGTGCTTATACAATAAGTACTGATTCAATTTTTTCTTCCAAAATTATCCCTAGTTGAATTTTAAAATACCACTTATAAAATTATCCCTAGTTGAATTTTATAAAAATACTTTTATGAAAGCACTTTTATGAAAACACTTATAAAAGTATTTTTATGAAAGAACTTTTATAAAAGTACTTTCACAAAAGTGCTTTCATAAGGGTACTTTCTTAAAAGTGCTTTCATAAAAGTACTTTTATAAGTTTTTTTTTGTAAAAGTACGTTTGTAAAAATGTTGTTGTAAAAGTGCTTTTATAAAAGTATTTTTATAAAAGAAATTTAATAAAAGTGCTTTCAAAGCGTATATTTTGAAAATTTGAAAGAAAACGAAGGACAAAATAGTCACAAATGCTCATTTAATTGCTTATTAGAGAAAAAGATTACCAAACACCCAATATAAAACAAGTGCTTATTTTAAAGTTGGGTGCCAAATGCAAATAAGTGCTTATTCAAATAAGCAATTATTTTTGAACACTTATTCAATAAGCACTTAAGCACTCCCAAACATGGCGT